TTAGCCAAAAGGCCGAGAAGCGATGCCGTTATCAGGCGTCGCAACGCTGAAATACATTATCTGACGCATGGCGTCCGCGAGTACTGCAAGATATACTTGTAACTTCAAAAACATTTTTGCTGTCATCCGGCATTTTGAGTTTCTGAATCTACTGAGCTTGGGTTTCTTGCTGTACCCTAATTCCAAATGTGCTAACATTTACAAAACTTGGCACAAGCTATAAACAAACGTTTTAATTACATATCTTACCTCATTTCTAGAGAATCTCATCTGCTGTGGAATACTAAGAGCACTCCTCTTCATAGCAAGACCATCCTATCTCATTTGTTGGACAAGAATCAATGGATCCAATGAAGGACCTGCCTGGTCAGAATTTGATGCCTGAATATATACATCGGGCATTCCTTATCTGCAAACAACACAAACCCAAGCTTCATTATTACATTCTGCAATATACCTTTATATCCGAGTTTATTTTCTTATAGAAACAAGTTAGTCTTATGATAGTCTACAAAATATTTCAATATTTCAAATGCTTGATGCACCACACATTTTGACCCTGGATGCCAAATGGTTGATCCCTGATTTCTGAATCACCTTTGCAGTAACTGAAATATGGAGAATATTTCCATTTAACATACTACAAGATACATCTCTCCACAGATTAATTTTTTAAATGAAGAAAAATCTGTCAGGGTTCTTCTTCAGAGCATAGGCAACCCAGGTCTTTGATCTATGATCTACAGTTAAGGGAATTATGTACTTAATTTGGGCTGCAAACATGTTAGTGTTACACTTCTTATCTCTCCCATAGTTTAAAGTCCACAACTTCTGCAAATGGTACAGCTTGTTCGGTGTACATGCGCTATGGTCTTAAGATGTGCAGTAGCTTTCCTGTTGGAACAGAAGGGGTGTATGCGGAGCTCAGTTACGAGCGAGCTGTGACCGAGTTCACTTCGTGTGCTGAATTCCATTTCAATAACACTGGCCCATTTACAATCTGGCTTGTCATTTTCTTTGTTCTTTCCGTTCAGCACAAACAGAATGGAAGGTGAGGGCATAAGTGTAAAGAAAATAGGGGAACACAAAGTAATACACACCTTAAGTAGGGAAATGGTGATTAGTGTTCATACAGTTTTATGAAGGAAGAAGCTGACAGCAGCAAGGTGATTAATGTTAATAAAATACTAAATCAAATTTCTGAAGCTACTGGTGTATTTCAGTAGTGTGAAGTGCATCTTAAAATAATATGATCACAGCAGATAATCTGGGGAGGAATTGAAGACACCTCACAAAAAACTGCCAAGAAAGACAAACTAAAACTGAAAAGATAATTTTACTAGTGTGTAATTCAAAGAATGATTAACAAATGTCCTGCTACAAAAGGTAAGTGTCCTACTTTATAATCATTAACTTCACTCATCAAAAAGATTAATTTCAGTGGTTGGAACTGGGCTGTCTGCAAAATAATTAAAGATTTAGTCTTCACGATGAAAAATATCAGAAAAGTAAAGTTGCGATCAAAATTGATTGAATTCATGCAGCAAGATTGGCACATCTGAGAAACATAAGTTGTTGCAGAATTGAAGGGCACCCTATCATCTGCACAAACAAAACATACCATACACTCTTGACACACAAAAGATCATGCCTGGAGTGATGGTAAGAATGAAGTTCCACATGCATCTGTCTACAAACAACAGCAAGTTGTCATCATACATGCTGGCAGTGAAAATTGCTTCATTCCAAATGCTTTGTTAATGTTTAAATCAGGGATAAAATCCATAAATAATCATCAGAAAATAAATTTTAATATCTACGAAACATGGCTTAAAACAAAGTCAATTCCAAACCTGCCAAATTCGGTATTAGTAGTGGACAGTGCAGATTAATGTAATGTGCAAATAAATCTGGCTCCAATTACTTT